TATATGTATATATATGTATGTATATATACGTATATATACATATATATTTTTATACGTATATATATATATATATTTTTTTTTTAATATATATATATATATATATATTAGTGCTGGGCATGTTAACACGTTATTATCGCGTTAACGCATTAATTAATTAACGCCGACAATTAATGCCGACAATTATTTTATCGCGCGTTAACGCATTTTTTTAAAATTTATTATTATTGTAACAGACTGTCTCATGTTTATCTTTCGGTATTGGAGATGATATGTCCCTTCAGGGTTGCCGTAGAGAAAAGGCAACTCCCGCTTCTGGTCGAGGGGGGGGGCAGAAATACAGAGAGAAGCCGAACGAGATGTCTGGTCTCCCGCCTCCGCTTATTACCATCTTATAAGTGCCCCTCATACACGAACCCAGGACACTCGGTCACATCGGTGGCAGCGGTGTTTCTTATGCACCGACCACTACGACTATTTTGCGCTTCAATAGTTTACGCTTTGGCGACTGTGAGTGTGCACTTTCTTAGTTTAGCTTAGCTGTCTCAGTTTAGCTAGCAGGCTAACTCCGCGGCACTTCAAAGAGAAAAGTGCTGCTGGTTCAAGTACAGGATGTGGGTTGGAGATGAAGACCCATGAAGCCCAGCTCAGGGCTATTCGGCAGAGGGTCGGCCAGCAGGGGACCATGTGGACCTGCCTGCTCCGTGTCCAGACTTTCCTCGGTTGGGTGAGACAGTCTGTTACTTTATTTTGAAAGTGTGTGCACTGGCAGCGGTGGAGGAAGTCTTGAGACTACGTTGATGCAGCGTGTGGGAGAAGTAGAGATAAACTAAAGCAACACAAGCTAACAGATGCTACAGAGAAGTGGAGACAAACTGCAGGTTAGTGTTGTGGAAGATGACGGTCTGAGGAACGTTCTCAAGGTGCGTTCACGTCGTGTTTGGTGTGAACGCAGCTTTAGGATCTCAACGAATGACGTCACGTATGAGCCTCAAGACGCACCGTCACCAGAAGAACACACGAGTTGTATTAAAGGAGAGGACGACTAAAGCGACGGCGTTACAACGTGCAGCAGCTGCTGCTCTCACTGGAGACTACTGGACATCACTGGGTCACCATCATCGCCTCGGAGTTACAGCATCGTAGTTATGAAGAGTAGAGCTGGGTTCGCCTTCATCGCCTCTGAGTTACAGCATCATAGTGATGAAGAGTAG